AGAACTAAAGTCTGCTGAAGTTGTGAAAAGTTCCATTTATTATGACATCTCAATGACATCTCAGATAGATACATGGGAAGAATCTCTTTGTTCCAAGGGTCTATCTCTAGCTCTATGATGATGGGGTTCCACCTCCATGAAACCAACAGTGTTTATGGCCAAACCTTTAATATCACTATCACAGTGGAGGGAATCACTGGAAAACCCAACACTATTAATCTATTCTATTCTGTGTAGATCCTTATACCTCCCTCATTGCCATAACATCTGAGCACCTTCCAGTAGTAACGTGACTAACATTAAAGCAACATGACTAACATCTATCTTGTGTGGCATTGTGGATCATAGCATAGTGAGATCCAGATCATTACATTAACCCCACTTAAGGTGACCAGATAGCAATTTTGGTTGGACGTATTCCTGACATAATATGTAATTAAAGATTAATCTTTAATTCCTGGAGACTCCAGGACAATCCTGGAGGGCAACCCTAACAAGTGTTAAAAATCAGGCCTGGGCGTGGTGTTAATAGGCACCTATATAAGAGAAAGCCCCAAATATGGGGACTGTCCCTATAAAATAGGGACATCTGTTACCCTAACCCCACTCCTTGCATAATCTTTTCCCTTCAAGCACATCTAAAATGTTCATTTGCAAGCTTCTGTTTGCCCTTCCTTTTGCCATTCTTATGTTCATCTCATTGCAACCTGTGTAGGTTCATATCTCCAGTAGTGATGCACAGGATTCGTTCTTACTCCTCATTGATGAAAATGACCTCCATTGAGGCTTGGCCATGTTTTTCGCTGAGACCTAAAGTAATGGGTAGAGGGATGGAGGGGAAAGAGAGAGAGAGAGAGAGAGAGACTGTCAGAGATGGGAGATGAGCTGATTTCCTTGGCTTCAATTCAGAATTGTGTCCATGAATATGCAGGAGCTAATGTAAAATGAATCCAGAAAGAATCTTCGATAAACACTTCCTTCTATTCGGCGACCTAATGCAGCATCTTATTACTCCATATTTTCTTGTGTATTTAACTTTTGCCAATAAAGACCTAACAGTAACACACTCTATGTGACTATAGCTGTATAGCCTCAGTCTTAGATCTGAGAGACTAAGCAAGGTTGAATATGGTCAGTACTAAGATGGAAGACCTCCATTTTTTTTTAAAGGAGGGATTTTCCCTCCCAGTACAGTCCCTGCAGTGGCATATGGGGCAAAAAAGCCCCTTAGCTGACAGGTGGAGAATTCTTCTAGCACAAGTACTGAACTGGACAGCTATAGGATGCCCTGTGCAGGCCTTCTCACAGCCCCCAGCATAAGGGTCATGCCGGGGTTGGGTTGGGGCTATAACATAGCATGATGGAGGTTCTGTGTAGCTGCCCATAGGCCACAAGGACTGGGTTGCTGTACCTTAGATCAGCTCCCTCAGCTGTCAACTTTTATGGCAGTGGTGGTGGTGTGGGGGAAGAAGGGTTGTTTCAGACCCTGACCAGCTTAAATACACCTTTGCTTCCATGCCTCTGGGCTGTGCCTCTGTGTCCTGGAAGCTTTTCAATGATGAATGAAGACATTCCATTATTAATTCCCAGACAAAACATTACATCAAAATGGAGGTAAGGTTGAGAGTATGTTTCAGCAACAAAGGGTATAAAACACTGCAGTGATGTTGTAAATTAGCTCAGGAACAGATGTTCTTCAGAGTTAGAGTTACACTTAAAGAAATCCAAACATGTTAAGGTTTGGAAATACAGTTAAGAGACCCAAAGAACCTTAACTATGCCCTGTTGTGACAGAGAGCTCTATCTCACACTTGTTTCATCCATGGGAATACTAGACAAGGCATAATCAGCTATTTTCCTTCTGATGCAGATGGTCCAGAACTTTCATTGTTCTCAGTGGTACTGAGTGCCTCTGCCTCTGTGAAGCATACATGGCCACTGTCTTCTCTGAGAGAAGTTGTGGCTTAAGTTCCATTGACAGCAATGAGAGATGATGGCCATTTTGGAAACGGGGGATTTCTTTGTAACACAAAAACTTTCAGTTATGAAAACTAATGGCACAAAATGACCATTAAGCCTAAATATTCAAAAGTATCCATTGTATCCATTGCACCAGATCTACTCAATAGGTAGACTAGGAGGGTGGCGAAACTAAGTTGTGTGTATATATATATATATATATATGTGTGTGTGTGTGTGTGTGTTCATGCAGGGAATGTAGAGGAGTGCAGGCAACTGATGTGTGTGTAGGGAGGTGGAAAAGGCAGTAAGAATTTGGAGGATAAGAGGGAGGGGGGAAACTGAAGGTGTTTTGTACAGCTCCAATTAAACAAAGCAGCTGTAAACCCAGGTTAACTGGCCAGTATGCTCTGGCTGTTTTGTGCTGTTTTCAAGTTGGGCAAAGCAGCCAGAGTGTAGCAGAAAATATCACCCTCCTCCCCAAAAGTTAGAACTAAATAAACTAGTTAAGGTGGATACTTCACATATTTAAATCAATAGAGATATCACATGGGAACATTCTCTATAAACATTTTCATTTAAAAGAAACAACAACAACAAAAACCAAGGAAATTCCTAGACAAAAACTATGTTGAGAGTACATATCAGTAATTTAGGGTAAACTGCACTATAGGGATGTTATAAATGCCTGAAAACTAAGCATTATCAACCCTGGAAATTCACCATTTAAACGTAAAATAATTCCAAACATGTGAGTTAGGGCACCAAAACAACCTTACCTCCGTCCTGTCACAGACTCGTCAAACTTTCCATATAGTTAGAACTCACTGAAATCTTGTGAATAAGCTACAACTTAAATCTGTCCTGTAGCGATGCCCTCACCTCAGCTTCCTTTAGCCTACTCAGGATCCTAACTCCACTTCTCCTGCCAAGCACCCCTAAGGCTATAAAATAAGCATCGCATATAAAATAAATGAGAATAGATAACACGGGCCAAATCCTCAGCTGGTGTAACTTCCACTGACTTCCATGGATCTATGCCCATTTACAGGAGCTGGATTCAGCCTTAAATATCTAAAAGTAAAAGGAAAATTACTCATATCATCCTCTACCTTTTGGCTCCCTCTCTTCAGAAATGGTGTTGCCTGCAGTACCGATGACCTCATGCTCCTCCTCAGCATTCACTAATTCTTGTAGCACTGCCTCCACAATTGGCATCACCATCGCTGTGGTGGAGGTATTGGAAAGCCACATGGATAAAATGGTTGTGCAGCACATAAAGCAGAGAAGTAACCTAGAACGCAGGAGAGAACAGCCCTCTTGGGACACTTTTACAACTTTTCATGTGATCCCCTTTTCTAATATTTTATTTATTTATTTATTATTTATTCTTTTTGCTTACAAATATATTAGATTGCATCAAGTTGAAATTCACCCCAGTGCAATACAATGCATCATTTAAGTCCCACCTATGTCCTGACTACGAATTCATTAAAACATGAAAACAGGAAATTCTGCATTTCATCATGAGTATTTTGTACACATCAAACAACAGGCAAGGAGAGAACAAACAGAGGAGGCAAGAACCAAAGAAGTGTGAGAGCACAATGAACAGAGCGTACTGGTGAAGGCATAAAAGGCAAAAAGAAGAGGCAGAGAGAGAGAGGACAGGAAAATTCATAAATTTTCAGCCCATGAAAAGATCATCATAGATTGACTTAGGGCACTTGATTGGAAAAGTACAGTACATTATGGGTAATGACATCATTTGCTTTTGAAAAGCATACAGGGTTAGATTTAATTAATATTTGGTCATTTATTTTTAAACTTGATGTCTTTATCCTTTAATGCTCTAAGGCAGAGGATTCACTCACATGCCTGGCTTGGCACCAGCCATCATGACCATACGCAAGGCAATCCGCTTATGTAGGTTCCACTTTTCAACAGAAGCTGCCACACAAATCACCCCCATGAGGAGCAAAGTTGTGTTCTTGAAATACTCTGCAGCCACCTGCAGGAAAGGCAAGCGGGAGATAAGCAATCACAGAGTGAAAGTTACTTGCAGAGATGCTGGGAAGGTGAAGACGCTTATATTACTTGTTTCCAAGCAGGGAACATGCTGGCAAGGTGGAAGAACTGGAGAACCTATGAGTCAAAATACCATATCTTAATTTTCTTTCTTCTGGTGTTTATAAATTAAAATATGTCTCATGCCACCTGTCACTAGGTTTCTCAATTTTGGAGAGACTGAGAGAAGTTTAGAGAAGTCGTGATTCTCTCTTACTTCTGTGAATAGGGTTTGCTTTGTAATGTGTTAAATGTTCTGATTAGACCCAAACTAAAACATCTCCTACTGATTCCCACCATAGGTATAAACGTGGCAGTTTCTGAAGTGCTCACTCAACCTGGGGATTTTACTGTCTACCCACTTAATTCTGTTTAATCATAAGGAAAGCCAGGGCTAAAATGCAACCACAGAAAAGCCCCCAGAGACATGTTGACTCTACCCAACCAGGTAAAGATTGAAATGTCGGTGTGTAATGGCCACTGATCATGCACGTGTGTGTTTGTGTGTGTGAGAGAGAGAGAGAGAGAGTGCACAAAAATCAGCAGCTATTTTACTAAAAAAAAAATTACACTGAAAATGCCATTGCTTTTTGAAGAATTTTCTGGAAATTTTGGGACAAATTTCCATCACCAAAGTGTAAAACAGAACAGGATTTAATCATGATTTCATAGCAAATCTCCATGCAAATTTAACTATGGAGTCACTTACCAATGCCTGTATAATAAACATCAACCCGCTGCTCTGACACAGACTCTCTCAGTGACCCTGGGTAAGATATTTAGAGCCAAATTGTGGCCTCATTTCTCCCTGAAAAGTCACAAAGGAAGCCTGTGGCAGGAAACTGAACCTAGGTCTCCAGAGTGCTAAACTAGTACCCTAACCACTGGACCATCCTGCCTCTCCATAGTTAAAAAAAAGAAAGTAAGGATGCCTAGGCGCTATTCCTGACAGCCACAGATTTGCTGGGTTAAGTCCCTAAAGTCTGAATTTTCAAAATTAGCTACCTGAAGTTAGGCATCTAAATTCATATTTCAGCATGTAAACAGGTGGGTCTGGTTTTCAGATGTGCTGTGCAACTGCAGCTCCTGCTGCCATAAGCGCCGACTTCCCTTCTGCCCCATGGGTGCTTGACCCCCGACCACCACCCCTGGCCCCGCCCCTGTATCAATTCCTTCCCCTTCCCCCAAGTCCCTACCCCTGCCCCACCTCTTTACTGCCTCCTCCGCCGAGTGCGCCGCGTCTCCACTCTTCCCCCTCTCTCCCGGAAAGTCCTAAGCGCCGCCAAACAGCTGTTAGGCAGCAGGTGGGAAGCACTGGGAGAGGGAGGAGCGGGGACCCGGCATGCTCAGGAGAGGAGGAGGTGAGGAGGGGGTGAAGGGAGCTTGGCTGCCGATGGGTGCGGAGCACCCGCAAATTTTCCCAGTGGTGCTCCAGCCCCGCAGCACTCATGGAGTTGGCAACTGTGCCTGCTGCTAGTTCAAGAAAGTCAAAGGACTCTTCCACACTTGAACAAAGGGCGTATTTTTAAAATGTGATCGCTAATACAGACAGAGCAAATTGTAGTTTTAACATGTTAGCTAGTTGAGGTGAAGGATTCACAGGAAAGGGTTTACAAGGACCAGCTAACAGTTAATACTACAACTTTCCCTGTCTACACTGGGATTTTAAATGCTTTAGCAATCACCTATCTGCTACCACACTTTAAAATCACTCTTATTTTCCTTGTGGAGATGATCCCAAAGAAGTAATATTTAAAAAAGTAGGCACACATTTAACCCGACACCCAACTATGTATTTAACTAAATGTAGGGTTAGGGTTTGAAAACACTGGGTTAAATGCTGGCCCCATTGAAATCAATGGGAGCCTGGCCATTGACTTCAATGGGGTCAAGATTTCTATCATACGTTATTAAAAATTATTTATTTTTATTTAAGAAATTCCCATGGTGACGAAAAAGGATTTGGCCATCATGGTTAAGTGTTTGCCAGAAACTGTTAAATATCACCTCTTTGGCTTTCTTTCACTACTTTCTGCCTCATTAACTTTTTTTTTCCCCCTAGCACCCTGTCCAGCATTTTTTTTAATAAAGAAGTTCTTAGACTGAATGAAAGGAATCTATCGAACTAGCAGCACAAAGACTCAATTGTTTCCCTTTATCCCTTTTACAGTATTTTGAGAAACAAATGAATATAACACACACACGCACATGGCCCTGTGAGCAATATTTGTTGTAAACTGTGTGGCAAGAACCTCTGTTCTGTGTCACTCCAGTGCAGCGACTGGAAATTTTGCAACAGTTTCAGCTTATGTTTTTGTTTATTTTTAATTTAAGTTTTCATTTTATTTTTGATAAATGAATAAAGCAGTCTGTCGAGTATTCCTGTAGTTATTTAAATTACATATTAAATTCAATTTGTAGCATGCTGCCCATACATTTTCAATCTGCAGCATGCTGCAGAATTTTGTACTGAAAACATGTAGCTGTTTAGAAGTTAGGGGAAAATGAAGGGCCTTGCAGTTGAATAGGGCACAGCTGGAGTTTTGGCACTTGGGAACAAGTAAGAGGCAGGCTGAGCTTGTGTAACAAGTGCAAAATATAACCTTGTAATCTAATTATGTAATTTTCCATGTCAACACGGTTAGCCATTTCACTGCTGATCACCAGGGCACACTGCTGATCGCCAGGGCACTTCACACCTTGCAGAGCAGTTTCAGGCTGTCTGTACACTTCACTGTACCAGTTTACATTCAGGCCTTGTATTACATTTAGATTAAATCTACGCTCCGAGTGAGGAGTATGACTTCCTGGCTTCTATACACATTGTAGATAAGCCGTGTGCTTCCTGCTCTAATAAGCTGACTATGACCTTCATACAGAGAACAATAACAAAAGAAAAACTCTATAAAGAATGTAGATAGCATGAATGGAAGTCCCTAGTCCCATAATTCAAGATAACTAATGAAAATTAAAGGAAGAAAATTCAAAATTGATCCAAGGGAATACTTTTTTTCCTCGCAACACACACAGCTTGTGGAACTCATTGGCACAAGATATCAATCACTGAGGTCGAGCTTAGCTGGATTTGTGAAACAGATCAGACATTTATATAGATAAGAATAGCTAGTTATAATATCAGAGGGGTAGCCGTGTTAGTCTGGATCTGTAAAAAGCGACAAAGAGTCCTGTGGCACCTTATAGAGTAACAGAAGTCTATAGACCTATTAGTCTATAAGGTGCCACAGGTGCCACAGGACTCTTTGTCGCTAGTTATAATAATAAATATTAATATCAGTCATGCATATCCTCCTGCTTCAGAGATCAGACAGCCTCTAAGTATTGGGGTTCAGGAGGAAATTTTCCTTGGGAAAGAGTTATTCCATAGTTACCTATTGCAAGGTTTCT